AACCAGGCGATCGGACCCTAGCGGGCTCCCACCCGTGTCCTCCCTAACGGTGCCAAAAACAAAATGGGGGAAGTTCGTAAGCGTTAAATGTTCGCGAGTTCGTAAAGGTCAAATGTTCGCTTCAGGTTCGTGATCTCCTCCGGTTCATACATGGAAGATAAACGGAAACAAGGGTAGTGACGATGAAGGCGAGGGCAAAAATAAGGGTGACACTTACCGGATGTAGGCGTCAAGCGAAACGTAACTCTTCATGTGTTTTCAAAACGTTTTCTTCTTTTTTTGGGTTTTCAAAACGTTTTGCGTTCTTTTGGGTTTTCAAAAGTTTTGTCGATTTTTTTAGCGTTTTCAAAAGCTTTTGCCGACTTTTTTTGGGTTTTCGTACGTGGTTGGCCAAAACGGAAAATGAAAACAATAAGGAAAATGAAAGAAACACTAATCTCTTAATCGAGCTGGCCAATGAACGCGTCTACCCGACCTAGTCAACTTATGCGAATCAGAGGAAGGCGTCGTCTTAGACGTCCTATCGGATCGCAAAACTGGAGGAACTGCTGAAGAAGTGGCGGTTGGCTCGATGGGAAACGGCGGAGCTGAAGTGGAAGGCTTGGATGGAGCATGATACTTGGGGTCAAGGATGTTGGAAGCAGTCGAGTCTTCCATCATAGGCTGGGTTGATTCTTCAGAAGACGAGCAAGGGTCTTCATCGAGCTCAGGTTCCATGTGGGCAATCTTGAGACGGTCAATCGTAACGGCTTCTCGTTTACCATGACGGTCGATGATAAAAACGCGGTCCTTACGCTGTAGGACCTTGAAAGGACATTCGTAAGGTCGCTCCAGTCGTCTGCGGAGACCATCGAGGCAGAGAAAAACGAACGGACAATGCTGCAAGTCCTGTGGTATAAAAGATTTACGTGGTTGTTCTCTAACGTCTGGAAGCTTGTACTGACGCATGCTCGTGGCTAGCTGACGTGCACAATTTGCGTCGTAACGAGTAATTCTGGGACTAACGGAGAAGAAATCGCCAGGTAAACGCAGTGGTTGTCCATATACTAACTCGGCGCTAGACGTACGTAGATCGGCCTTTAGGGCTGATCGGATCCCAAGGAGGACCACAGGCAGCACCTCAGTCCAACTCAGCGCATTGGCGGCGCTAAGTGAGGCTTTCAACTGTCGGTGGAAACGTTCCAACAGGCAAACCGAATGGTTCCCTAATTCACAAGAAAGCTATAATTTGAATATTTTAGAATAGTTTACACAGTCATACAGGGGGATCTCCAGGTCGCTACAGCAGCATTCAGCACAGCTGAAAAGAAAGTGGACGCTTGATGATAGCATTTTGTACTGATCAGCTTGTAGGCCGGTACAGCTTTCGTGATACCAGCGGCAGCAGACGTCACACTGCACACCACCAGATGCATCTGTTACTGGCTCTGAACAGTTAACCTGTCCGCAAGCTGCAGTAGAATCATCAAACGAGGACCCCATAGGTCCATCCGTCTCGGTGTTTAGTAAGACAGCCATGTTCATGTGGAAAACAGATTAGAATTAGAACACGTAAACAATAGGAAAACGACCGCAATAAAGAGACAAAAACAGGGTGCAAAACGGGATTAAAACTGGGAACAACCGGAAAAATTACCAATAAGCGCCAAAGACGCTTTGGCCAGTACCAATTTAATCGATCCAAGATATCTTGGATCAAACAAAATTTGACAAAAGTCAAATTTCGTTTCAAGTGTTTATTCAAACACTGTTTTCCACGTTATTTCAGCTGATCAGAATGGCTCGCCATAAGAAAATCGCACGTAACTGTAATGCACAATAATCCAGGGGGGCACGAAAGATCGTCAATGGCTGAAAAACGCAGGGAAGAACTGATAACGATGGCAGCACGCGTCACAGTGATCACAGCACACGAGATAAGTCAGGGCAAAACACAACGTGCACTCGGCAGCGTGTAATTGGCAAGAGTCCAAAATTCAGGTAATTCAAACAAAAAGGGGTTAACTGTACACAAACCGGAATAGGAAGTACAACAATAATAATTACTATTATTCTTTAAAGTCATTGTCATCTGATAAACAGTCCAAATGTCTTGCTTGGTTGTCAGGCCGTCGATCTGAAAGGGAAAAAAAGAGAAGGTCAAAAAGAGTTCGACCATTGGCACTACATCATCCCCCTCTTCGAGAGGCGTCGTCCTCGCCGCCCTAACTAGTAATCGATACGTGGGGCTCTGTGGTCGTTACTTCCACTTCTGTTAACGCATCTGGTGGGTCAGTGTCGGTTACCGGGCGCTGAGACGATGAAATGGGATGAGTACTGAGAGTTGCCGGTTTGAGACGATTGAAATGGACAACAATTGAACGGTCGGTGTCTTCACCTTGTCTGTAAATTCGACAGGTAGAATCAGTATACACTTCCTCGACCACGAATGGACCGGACCACTCCTTGTGCAGCTTCGCCGGAACGCCCTGAGATGGATTCGGAGTGTGGAGGTAGACTTGTTGTCCAGGTTGAAGTGGACAGCCGTGCACTTTCCGGTCATAGTAATCCTTTTGACATCGACGGGCAGCTCCTAAGTGCTCTCGCGCAAGCGAATAAGCTTTGGTCAGGTCCCGACGTAGACGAACGGCATAGTCTGTGGCAAGGAGCGAATCAGCAGCCGCTGTTGGCACAGTCAAATCAATTGGCAACCTCACTTCGCGCCCGATTACCATGCATTGTGGTGTGTTATCAGTAGCTGAGTGAACGCTGGACCGATAGGACAGGAGGCACTGTGGAAGTGCAATATCCTAAGCGCGGCTGTGGTATTCTTATTTGAACGCTTTTAACAGAGCCTTCAGCGACCAATTTGTGCGCGCTACGTGGCAATTGCCCTAGGGGTGATAGGCTGTTGTCCGAGTCTTTCGAATGTCTAGTATTCGGCAGAGTTCAGACACTACCAAGCTTTCGAAATTAGAACCACGATCAGAATGAAGTTGCTCAGGTGCCCCCCACCGTGAAATCCAGTGGTCAAACACGAGCTGAGCTGTGGATCTGGCGTCAATGTACGGGGTTGGTATTGCCTCACACCATTTGGTGAAATAATCGACCAAAACAAGTATATACCGATTCCCTCGTGGCGTTTCAGGCAGGGGTCCAAGGACGTCCACACCTACGGTTTCGTTGGGATATCCAATCACCATGGGCTGTAAGGGGCCCTGTTCATCGTTTGTGGTTGCTTAAAGCGGATGCACTCATGGCAGGCGTTACAGAAGTTCGCAATATCTCGACGCTGTTGAGGCCACCAAAAACGCAAACCTGCTGCTTGCTCCATTTTCCGTTGTCCCGCATGACCCAACTCCCTAGGTAGCTGTTCGAGTATCCGCTGCACCATGGACTGTGGGACGATAAGTCTGCTAGGGTAATTTGGACCAAACTGGTAGTACATGACACCATCCAGTAGCCGAATTTTCGACCACAGAGACCACATGCAAGACGTTTCCCAGCTTAGATCCAGCCATTTCGGCTTTCGTAGGCTTCACACTCCCATGTCGTAAGCGCTCATAAATCTACTTGGTCTCTGGGTCTGTACTGTGAGCTGATGCCCAATCTGTTGAATCCGGATGGTTCAGAGACACAAGGGCAACGTTCGATGTTGAACGAGATGGACAATCCCCATGTGCCCTATACGGACGGCGAGACACAGCGTCTGCATTTCTGTGTTGCTTCCCGGGGAGATGTTGACATTCAAAGTCGAAGGCTTGCAGTAGTTCCTGCCAATACGCGACCAGCCCTTCGGGTTCGCGAAATTCCCGCAACCATCAGAGCGCCCGACGATCAGTACGGACTATAAGGTGTCGACCAAACAAGAAATGTCGGAAATGTTTAACGAAGGAGACCAGAGCAAGCATTTCCTTCCTAGTAGTGCAATAGTTTCGCTCTGGTTTTGTCAACTTGCGGCTAGCGTAAGCGATAACCCGTTCCATACCATCCCCAGAGACCTGTGATAACACAGCTCCGATACCAACATCACTAGCATCAGTGTCCAAAATGAATGGGGCAGCTTGAGGTGACACGTCCGGGAAAACAAGGATTGGGGTGCTGGCCAAAGCATGACGTAACTCATCAAAAGATTCCTGGCATTGCGGGCTCCAATGGAAAGGCCGACCCTTTTCCGTGAGTCGGTGCAATGGTGCTGCCATATCCGCATAGTTCTTCACGAAGCGTCTGTAGTAAGAAGCCAGACCCAAAAAGCTCCGAACCTCTTCAACGGACTCGGGAATAGGCCAACTTATGATATCCTGTACTTTCGAAGGATCGCTCCGGATCCCACAATCGCTGATCACGTGGCCTAGATATTTAACCTCTCTCTTCAGCAAGTCACACTTAGACGGCTTCAACTTCAATCCTGCAGAACTAAGGCACTGAAGCACTGTTTCTAGATTAGTGAGATGTTCATCGAGCGTACGTCCATGAACTATGACATCATCCAGGTATACAAGACATCTGCTTGGCTGCAGATCTCTGAGTACAATGTGCATCAGTCGCTGGAAAGTCGCTGGTGCATTTGCCAACCCAAACCCAAACCGAATCGTCCTTCGATCGGCTTAACACGACCCAACGGAATGGTTGGTCGTTATCGTATCCCAGTTGGTTTCCATATCCATTCCATGCTCTCTAGTGGCTGACGTAAACGGACGATTCGGTATGCTGGACGAAGAACGAAAGTTCTACCATTCGCCACTGAAAACCTCCGTGATCACACTGCCTGGCAATGACGTCATTGCACCTGCACTTATCACCCACACATTTGACTGCCTTACCTCTGTGGATGAAACTGTTGGGCGTCCACCATCCGCTCCTGCAAATTTGGCACGGTCGCCGCAAGTTCCTTTCCATCTCCTCTCAGGATGCAAGCAAAGACCACACAGTTCTCCCGGATTATTTCCTTTCAGTGACTCCAAAATCTAAATGGGCGGCGATCACCGGCAGGTTCTCTTGATAAATCCAACAATCTGTCAATGTCAGAAATGCAGGACATCCGTTTATCCACTGTAACTGCTACTGCCTATCATTCTACCGTAAGAAACTTGGACGATTGGGACGCCTGCCAACTCAGCGAATGGTTGCTTTCTTCTGATAACACCGTAGTTTCGCAAGAACGCCCAGCTGCAGAAACGCCATGTTCTATCCAGAATCCAATTTGCCTTCTGCCTACTACACCATCAATCCGCTCTCCCTCGATGTACAGATCTTGTTTTCGTGAAGAGGTAAGTTGCGTCATTGTTACACCCCAACTTCTTTTAGCCTATCACTGTTCCCGTCCCTCGAGCAGACCTGAAGCGCCCACGCTCCGCAGTTTCTTCTTACACTGATTCTCCATTAACCGAAGACGAGTCGCGCCCTTTTTCGGCCCCGAAACGTCTGTACAACGATGGCTGTGACTCCGGGCCAAGTTTGTTTGCCAGCAGGACCACTCTTTCTTTCGTTACGTCTGACTCAATCACACTTGTCAATGAGCAGGCACCATCCGGCGAGTCGGATCCTCCTAAATCCACTCTAGAGGCTTTGGTTGCATCAAATTCGCCTATGTTGTTTTTTACAGCAGACTACACTGCTGCAGCTGATCGTATCACATCACCATTATGCGATCTGATCGCGGCTTCCACGGAGAAGAGTCGTACTCCTCTTCTGGATAATTATGACACTGTGGAATCGAATTTTAATTTAGACCTGGAGTCAACCTGTACCGACGTTGAATCGGACATACTGAATCTGAATTCCGCTGCAAATTCAATTTCCTCCTCGAAATCTCTCGCGTCTGTGGATCTTGGGGAAGCAAATGTGATGAAGGGTTCCGACTCGCACAACAACAGCCCCACATCCAATCTCAGCGCGTCTTCCGAGGCGCTTTCGAACGGTTGTGTGTCTATCACCACCCACTTGTCTGCTTTTGTCGAGGCCATACGTAGCTATGCAGCAGAGTTGTGTCCTGTAGATTGTGTCATTTTGATGGAACGATGTCGCCCGTTCAATTGTGATACCTATTTCATGAATACTTTCGCGAACAATACCTCTGTCCCATTCTGAGCAATCTAAACGGTGGACCACCCTTAAATGCCGATTTTGGACGTGATGCGTACACGTCTTTGTATTCATTACATGGATTCTATTGGCGCAAACCATTTCCATCTACCACTTGGGTCCCCGACACACCTATCATCTACCGCATTTTGAAACGCATTGCGACGCTAGCAACATGAGGAAAGGCATTGCGAGTGACCAAACTGATCTTTTCAAAGGCACTTCGGGGTGGCAGGCTTCTGGAATCGGGCCGTGCAAGCATTTGACGCGATCGATAAAGCACGCCGAGGTCTCTGCAAACAAGTTCAGCGTCATCTTCTTTGTTGGCTGTGTCCCAATAAATGTGTAATGATCTTTATGCTGACACTCTAAAGCCACTTGAAGATACTATGTTAAAAGAGCCTCTGACGAATCACCGCAGACGAAGAGTTGGACGTGTGAGCGAATTCTCACCTGTACGTTCTCCCAGCTTGTTTGCGACCTCTACGAGTTGGTGAACGGATCGTCACCGTCCATGTTTTGTGACCGCCGAAGGCGAAAACAGTAGCCTTGTCCGTCAGTTGCTGAATTCTTGACTCCTCCCGAGCGACGTATCGGTGGACCTCTTTGCGGCGGATTCTCACCGCCCAAGCTCTGAAGCAGAACTTGTGCTATATGGAACAACACGCAGGAAGCAAATGCACCAACAACAGATGCAGCAGCCGCCGCCGCCTCCACACATGAATCGCCCGAACGGGCACTACGATTCCAAGGGAGCCTCGTCTAGTGAATGCCACCGATCCCTTCATCTCGGCCCCACTGAACTATTTGCCCAGGTCAAATTCTCTATCAGGTGTACACCACTACCGTCGGCTGTCAGTGGACCACCAACCAGTTGCTAGCCTCCACGGTTAATTCTCTGCCGGTACACCAACGGATGAGCAAGTTACCGTATCTGTCGTGGGAGAACTACAGTACATAACCACAACGGCACCTGTGCTTTGTCTCCATGATATGCAGCTTTATCAGAATTTCCGCTGCGGTAATCAATGGCGCCGCAAAACGCTCGACAGAGTTCGCGGAACCCGCGGACACTAAACCAACGGCTACCCACACCCCACGGGCTAAGGTATCAAGGGGTTAGCAGAGGCCACCGTTTGGCCGTCAGATGGAAATCGTCAGTTTTAGCATCAATCTTGCCACAGCAGAATGACGGTGTCTGTGAGAATTTCCGTCTCGGCGGGACACTTCGGGGGCCCCAATTCAGTGGATCAGTTCTGGCCCTGCGAGTGTGTACGGCTCCGACTCAGTGGACCACTCCGCAAGGCTGATCCGCCGGATATTATGTCCCTCCTCAGCAGGCCTACTTGACAAGCGACTTCGAGGACGCCTAAGCTCCACTCCCCTGCTTTCTGGTGGAGCAGTCGTTGGCGTTTTTGCATAGCACCACCCCAGTAACACCTAACACTGTTTCCCATCTGGCGCGTTAGCCCACCACTGTCACCAATTATGTAATGCACAATAATCCAGGGGGCACGAAAGATCGTCAATGGATGAAAAACGCAGGGAAGAACTGATAACGATGGCAGCACGCGTCACAGTGATCACAGCACACGAGATAAGTCAGGGCAAAACACAACGTGCACTCGGCAGCGTGTAATTGGCAAGAGTCCAAAATTCAGGTAATTCAAACAAAAAGGGGTTAACTGTACACAAACCGGAATAGGAAGTACAACAATAATAATTACTATTATTCTTTAAAGTCATTGTCATCTGATAAACAGTCCAAATGTCTTGCTTGGTTGTCAGGCCGCCGATCTGAAAGGGAAAAAAAAGAGAAGGTCAAAAAGAGTTCGACCATTGGCACTACA